ATTGTCCAACCATGTGGGCAGCTATTGGCTACCAGTTGTGTATTGTACAACCACGTGGGCAGCTATTGGCTACCAGTTGTGTATTGTACAACCATGTGGGCAGCTATTGGCCACCAGTTGTGTATTGTACAACCATGTAGACAGCTATTGGCTACCAGTTGTGTATTGTACAACCATGTAGACAGCTATTGGCTACCAGTTGTGTATCGTACAACCACGTAGACAGCTATTGGCCACCAGATGTGTATTGTACAACCATGTAGACAGCTATTGGCCACCAGATGTGTATTGTACAACCATGTAGACAGCTATTGGCTACCAGTTGTGTACTGTACAACCATGTAAACAGCTATTGGCCACCAGTTGTGTATTGTACAACCACGTAAACAGCTATTGGCCACCAGTTGTGTATTGTACAACCACGTAGACAGCTATTGGCTACCAGTTGTGTATTGTACAACCACGTAGACAGCTACTGGTCACAATTTAGTACTGACTTAAACACTGTTGCCTCCAACGTGTGGGTATAGTTACTACATAATTTGTTTTCGATATACAAGCTTTAATGAATAATAAACATATTTATTAAAACCACAAAATTATACATAGGCTGGTTATCTGTCTGTAGAAGTACGTGTTCTTATCAAAGTATCTGCTACAACAACTGCTTAATAACGTCCACGTCAAGTTGTGTATTTGGTAAATTAATAGTGTTTGTGCGAGAATTATAACACAATTCATCGTGTAAAGTCTAAATTAAAGTTACTAACCTTCAACACAAGTTGGAAATATTTAGAGAAAAAATACTATTTCATAACCTACATTAACATATTCACAAATATCAATACTTTACCAACTCCCCTTTTTTTTTTCTATAACCCGAGGGGTTAGGGTACTCGACTGGCCCCAAGTTCAAATCCCATCACTTAATATACTTCCCATTTCAGCAATACAAGGTGACAGTCACTTCCACTTCTCATTGTTAAAAAAAAAAGTAGCAAGGAGTTAACGGTGGATGGTTGTGACTAGCTGCCTTACCTCTACTCTATCACTTCTATATTACAGACGGCTAGTTCTGATAGCCCTCAATTAGCTTTGCACAAATTAAACAAATTAACTGATTTCTGAAATACGATAAATTAAAGGTAATTAGATACCGAAATATTTGACTTGGTAAAACTTTTTGCTGTTTACCATTGCCTTATGTTTGGCATGTAGTTTTTAAGAAAGCTTTTTTTTGTGTGTGTGTGATTTAGTTTGGTTGTTTCCTCCTTCTATCTTGTATAATAGTGTAGATGTGTTTATGAAATATATTTCACAATTCACTTCCTGGTTCAAATACATTAGTTCCTAATTATTTTATCTCATTAGACCATACTGTTTATAATTAAGCATAAAGCTACAAAATGGGTTGTCTGTGATCTGCCCACCACGGGTATGGAAACCAGGATTCTATCGTTGTAGACATACTGCTGTGCCACATGGGGGACCCATATTAGCCTGTCAATTTAACAAATGACGTTTGTGATCTTAAGAACTTGTAGTTCTAGGAAACATAAGAACAGATCAAATGTCTTCTTAATTTGTGTGCAAGAAACAGAATATACTAAGTGTGTGATCGTATAAAACATGTGGTTCTAAGAAACAACAAAATCATATAAGATACAAGTCAAGTATTCACAGGGACAAACTTTATTTATGTTCAAATTACAGAAAAACAAATTAGGCCTACACTGCACCTCAACTTGATCTGGTGGAATATCAAGATCTCGTTCAAATTAGGCCTACACTGCACCTCAACTTGATCTGGTGGAATATCAAGATCTCGTTCAAATTAGGCCTACACTGCACCTCAACTTGATCTGGTGGAATATCAAGATCTCGTTCAAAGCTTCTTATCCCCCTGTCACTTTCATTCTGTGAAAGGCTTCCTCCCCAAATATGTGCTCCAAATGTTTTATAAAAATCACAATGTGCTTGTAAATCAACTATTTTGGGCCCTCAGCAATGAGATAATCACAAATGGAGATGGGGGGTGAAAAAACAAAAACAAAGTGAAGCAATATTTACAAAATTAACAATTACTCCAGCCTCTTCTAGTTCTGTACAGTTTTGTTCCGGTAACTTACGCAAGGTAATAAAAAATAACGAACAGAACTAATAGAGAAAACACAAAAGTTTATAAAATACAATTTCCGATATTCTAAAGACCACTTAATTAACTAGAAGGGAAAATGGTGATATAACCGATTGTTAAACTTAAGTGACTTTAAGAAAAAAAAAAAAAGTTAAAAAACATGACTTGCTATCTCATCAGAGCAGATTTCTTGAAATTATAATTAAAAAGATAAATAAATGAAAGAGGGTATTCTGGTGACGTATCAACCAAATGATGTAAATATTTAACTAGATCATAACAACATCCATTATTTCTGATTTCTCAACTGGCTGGATAGCCAATCCAGGCCTTCGTACAGACCGTCCCCGCTAGTTGCACACGTAGCTTGGATGTACCAATTTCTGTTCCTTAAAGAATGAAGTCCAAGTTTATCTGTTATTTCTGCTGCATTCATAGCATTGGGCAAGTCCTGAAGGAAAAATCAAATCCAAATTAGTTACAGAATTTAAATTCCTTGAAAATGTATATTCAGCTTATCAAGACATAAGTACACAATGGTTTTACTGGGTTTTTTCCTACTATTTACTTTACAGAACATTCAACCGTTTTGTTTTAAATATTTTGTTTGTTTTTGTTGTTAAGTACAAAACTACACAATTGGCTATCTGTGCTGTGCCATCACGGGTATCAAAAACCTGGTTTATAGTGTTATGAGCCTTCAGACTTGCCAGTGGCCTTACTAGTTTTAGATAACTTATTACATGCAAGTATTGTAGTTTTTCTAGAGTTTGCAAATAGTCTAGTTATTGAAATGGTAAGTATAAATACCTGTTTGTTAGCAAAGATCAACAAAACAGCATCTCTTAGCTCATCTTCTCCCAACATTCGGAACAGTTCTTCTCTTGCTTCACCAACTCTTTCTCTGTCATTGCTGTCCACTACATATATAAGTCCTATGGGGTGAAGAGATGAACATAGTCAAATGCAACTGAATTATCGTTCAAAGCGAATGTACATATACACGTATGCAGGTTCATGTAACTATACCAGAAGGTATATACAACTGAGCGATCTTCGTATTATGCCCTACACAAGTACTGTTACAAACGTTTCTCGCACGTTCGGTATTAGACAAGAAACGCAAGTCGACAAGAATGATATTACACAATGTTACCACGAACTTGCGTTAAACATATTAAACTACTTTAGAACAAACATAACACAAGATTTATAACTATGAATGTGGAGTTAAAAATACATAGAAACATTTCACCACCAAATTAGCTGGTACACTAGATCTTTTAATAATTAATATAATTTATCTTCATCTTAAGCACACAGTTTTAGTAATTGTAATAAATATGAAAGGTTATATAAATACACTTTTGATTTCAAAATTTAGACAACTGCTTCACAGATAAATTAACTCTTTCAGCACGGGCTCGGTCCCTGGGACCGACCTCGTAACCATTTTGTGCTTGTTATAGTTTACATGTTAACTTTTAAGTTAGTAAGCAAATGTTAACCAAATTTGGCAGATTATCAGTTAACATTACAATGCTTTCATATGCAAAATATCTAATTTTTTTTATTAAGTCTTAAGGTTCGTAAAGCAATGTTTTTCTCATGTTTATTTTTTATTTTCACATGTTGCCTATCTATCATGCAAAGTAATATTCCTTTTAAGATTAAAAATACTTTTATGCATTAGAAAATTTTGAAACTTCACATGCGAAATCTTTATAATGTTCAGATAGTTATCAAACGTTTCTTAAGAGAAAACATTATATTTTATCTGTAATTATTAGTAATTAATCTCAGTACGGGTTCGGTAGGTTTGACCGATCTTGTAACCACCATAAAAAATTAGGAAATAAATATAATTATGCCTCTTTCATTCTAGAATGAACACAAGTTATAACACTAAAACACAAATGGTTAGTCTAAATAATTAAATCTCATAACATTATACATTTATATATATTTATTATTTGTATTATATTGATCTTTCAGCAGTGTCTGACTAACAATACAGAAGTTACAATGATGCAGCTCGCATGCACTCACATGGATACAGTAATGTGAGTGCCCGTGTGCCGCGTCATTGCAACTTCTGCAATGTTAGCCAGACACTGCTGAAAGGTCAGTATAATAATAATAATGTATATAAATGTATAATGTTATGAGACTTAAGTTATTTAGCATAAAAATTTGTGTTTTTATGTTATAATTTGTTTCATTCTAGAATGAAAAAAACCACAATTTATATATACTTCCCAATTTTTTATGATGGTTACAATGTCGGTCAAATTGACCAAACCTGTACAGTGATACAATAGTGAAAATTACAGATGAAAAACATTTGATAATTATCTGGAGGTTATAAAGATTCCACATGTGAAAGTTGAAATTTTCTGATACACAAAAGTATTTTTAATCTTAAAATCAAAATTGCTTTGCATGTTGGATAATCATTTTACAAGAAAAAATGCATGAAAAAAACATTATTTAAAAATATGATATTTTGCATACGAAAGCCTCGTTATGTTTACTGATAATCTGCACAATTTCATGAAGATATGCTTACTGTATTAAATGTTATAGCATGAAAACTATAACAAGCACAAAATGGTTACGAGGTCAATCCCAGGGACCGAGCTCATAGAAAATTATAGATAAAATATAATGTTTCTTCTTAAGAAATGTTTGATAACTATCTGGACATTATAAAGATTTCACATGTGAAGTTTCAAAA